ATCGAAGAACTGACGGTATTAAATGAGCCATTTCCGATATATTTAAATTCTAACGTGGCTCCGAGGCTTCGGGAATAAAATAAAAGAAATAAATTATTTGTCTCTCAGCCTCGACGTGATTTCTTTTGAATTCTAAAATATCGGAAATATAGCGAATTGTTTATAGCTTCATTGAAGTGTGTTATTAGGGTGTACTGCAAAAATAAATAGATAAACAAACATGCAACTGCGCGCAATTTTTCCCGTTGTAAAAGTGTTAGAATTATATTCTCTCCAGAAGGATTAGGCATTTTAAAGAGCTGATAAAATTTTAGCTGTTTTAAACTTCATCCACCATTTTTTATAACGGTTTATTGTCCAGTAATATTGGCGAAACATAGGGTTCTCGTGACATGTTAACGGCCGCCCCTGATGATCTTTTGATGAGCAAATATCTTGAACCTAGGATAAAAAGTTGTTCCTGGAGTGTGATCGAGTGGGGTAAGAGCATCCCTTTTGTAAAAGCTGCTGAGTCGAATGACGTCGTGGTTCGAAATTCTCGAACTCATTTGCGTTTTCACTGAGCGCTGGTAAACAGGATAATTTCATCTAATTATCTAATAACACTTCCAACGTCGATCGTTCTATCCCGGAAAACAAAGCTGCATGACTGAGTCTATCTTTTCTTTTTTTCAGTTGCTTCCTTTCTGCTTTGCCATAAAATATAACATAGCGGATTTTCGACTTTTATTATCAATAATCTCATGTCATTGGCGATAACTACATGATTTCTCGCTTCTTAACACTAAGCATGGATTCTCATTCGTCATCTTTGATTTTTTCCCCTGTTTACCTTATTTCCGCCTTGTTCTCTTTCGATTCAAATAGTCATTCAAATATACTCATCTTATTACTTACAAGAACTATCGAGTGTCTTTCATGACCGGTTTTCCTAACTGCCATTCTTTCATAATCATGATAATTAGCTTTTTATGCATCCACTGCATGTTGAAAAACAACAGCCTCCCGCCTCCCGGTTAGCTCAATTGGTTAGAGCGCCGGATTGTGTTGTGCGGGAGGTCGAGGGTTCGAGCCCCGCCGGACAAATACTCATGGTCTTAAAATAAGTGAGGAGAATTTGCTACATTTCTATAATATCAAGAAATGGATAGATATTCTAGTCTTCTCGGATAAGGACGAATAAACCGTAGGCCCCGTCTCCTGCAGGGTTAGGGGTAGGAGACGTTAATTTCCCACGCACGAGATTACTGTGTGGTGGATGTCCTCCCCTGGGGTGGGATGGGAGGGAAGGTGAGATCGTTACATGGACTGAAGCGGCTGCCAGAAGCGCCTGATAATGCTGACGTCCGATCTCAACCTTATCATTGTAACTAGACACGTTTGTTGTTTAGAGTGCTTGAGACTTTCTTTCTTTCTTTCTTTCTTAGAACTTTCAGTCATAAGAGAGACAAGGAAGGCCTTGCGCATAAAAGAATGATAGCCATGCCCACCATATGCCCACTCATTCACATTTCTGGTGTTTTGGTCTGTTGCCCTTCTTGGGGTTGAAAGCACGAAAAGCATTTTGTAACCGTCAAAATATAGCCGGACGGGTCTTAACGACTTGACATAAACTGTCTTCATGCCATTAGGGTTTTCACAACAGAAGACGTTTTAAGATTGAAAGTGAGGTCTACATATTGGTTTTTGCAAAGTATTTCAAAGTGCTTCTGACCCAGTATTGCTGGCTTGGGGGGTCACTTAAAGCTTTCAGAGTGAACATGGAAAACAGGGAAATCCACAATTTCTGTCTGTTGGAAAAGTCGGAAGGAAGAATACTATTTTTACCTGAAGAATTTTTATGTTTATTTTCTCACTACAGATCTTGAAATACCTTGGACAGTTGAATTGCACAGTAAATGCAGACATATTTGCTAAGCCCCACTGGAAGCTCACAATCAGTAATCAAAATTATACTGTAAGACGGGGGAATAAGAAGATCTGCGTATACCTTTCAGAGGGCATAGATGTCCCAAATGTTAGAGGAAAATAATCAAAGGCACCACATTGCTACTTAATTTTTTTCATTAAGCTTTGCAACTTGACCTTCAATCCGGTCTAATTTAGTAAGTGCAAAATAAAACAAAACTAATGTACAAATACAAAAACTGAAGCAAACGCCTCCAGTAAAATAATGACTTTTTGTTCGGTTAACTTCTTGTGAGAAGTTAAAAAATTCTCCTCATCAGTCTCCTTACATTTTCTTATAACTGCAACTATGAAAATTTGTGGAAAGGTCAGGCTAATATTTGGGGAATAGTTCCTTGGTTCTCAGGACCCTTCATTACTCGTAAAATTATGCTAAAACTGTGGAGACACATTTTCTGCCAATCACTCGTAGGATTTGTGAAGTTAAGGGCGCTTGGTGACAAATGCTGTTTCTGGAAATGCGGTGCGTATCAGGATACTTTAACAGAACACGAGTACCGCGATACGAGGTTTGTTAAACACCAGCAGAATACAGTTTCTTAGAACTGTGTTTTTTGCTACATCAATGCCACGGAAATTTTAGCGCTCGCTTTTTATCTAAAAGCTTGATTATTCACTTCCCTACGCCCAGGTCCTCATCTTTATGGTAAGGCGTTTAAATGTTGCAACTCAATAATGCATGTTCATTGTTCTTTTTTGTCGTCTAAAGAAACGATAATTCAGCATGCTCTGAGTTTCATTTATAGGATCATTTCTTAGGAAACCTCAGTCATTAAAAAGGATTTCAGTCCAAGTGGCAAATATTCATCGTCCATTAGTTTACCTTACATTCATAACTATTGTTGTCATATCCGGAAGGCGTGGCAAGACGTATCACTTCTGGCTCACAATGATTTGGACTGCATTCTTGTGATTCCTCATGTCTGTCACAGTCTGTAGCCATTTTAACATTCTCAACATGGTATGCTGCTTTAAAGTGAAAAGGTTCTCCAGTCTTGCACGCAACTGATACTTTCCCGTGACCAACAATCACAATGTCTCCTGAAATGTCAACACTTCTCTCCAACAGATACTCGCCTTCTTTTATCAAAACGACTTTGTTCTTCCTCGCAGGCATCTTTGACTTAATGTCTATTTTCTCAATTGCAGTTTGAAGGTCCTGTACTGTTTTAACGACGTGAGAATCATAGTCTCCAAAATGATCCACAACTATTGATATATTTGCACATCTCGACGGAAACAGATGCCTAGCAATCACAGCTGTAGCAAGTGAGGGTCCTCGTCTACCAAGAAGGGCAAGGGAGACGGCTTTCCGGTAATAACCTTTTGACCAAGAGGGATCCACAGTTATTGCTTTCTGTGAATCTGCCAGGGCCTGTACGAGCATCTTCTGCTTGTCTTCCGGTGATGAACATTTTTGCTCTGATAACTTATGATAACTGGCAGCTCTGTTGGTCAACAACTTGGCATTGTTTGGAGAAAGACGTAAAGCTTCAGAGTATGCTTCTGCTGCTGCGTAATACTCTTGCGCCTCGAACAGACTCTTAGCACGGTCGCTTATTTCTCGATCACTGTAAATGGTTGAATCAACAGTTGGTAAGCCTTGGTAGAATTGTATCACTTCTGGTTCATTGTCATTTGAGCTGCAATCTTGTGATTCTTCCTGGGTGTCACAGTCCGTAGCCATTTCTACATTCTCAACATGATACGCTGCTTTAAAAAGAAAAGGTGCTCCAGTCTTGCACGCAATTGATACTTTCCCGTGACTAACGATCACAATGTCTTCTGAAATGCCAACACTTCTCTCCAACAGATACTCGCCTTCTTTTAACAAAACGACTTTGTTCTTGCTCTCAAGCTTCTTTGCTTTAGTGTCTGTTTTCTCAGTTGCAGTTTGAAGGTCCTGTACTGTCTTGACTACATGTACCTCAAAGTTTCCAAAGTAATCCACGACTGCTGGAATGTTTGCGCATCTCGACGGAAACAGATACCGAGCAATCGCAGCTGTGGCAAGTGAGGGTCCTCGTCTACCAAGAAGGGCAAGGGAGACAGCTTTCCGGTAATAACCTTTTGCCCAAGAGGGATCAACAGTGATTGCCCTCTGTGAGTCTACCAGGGCTTGTTCGAGCATCTTCTGCTTGTCTTCCGGTGATGAGCATTTTTGCTGCGATAACTTATGATAACTGGCAGCTCTGTTGGTCAACACCTTGGCATCGTTTGGCGACACACGTAATGCTTCAGTGTATGCCTTCATTGCGCCGTAATAATTCTGCTCCTTGAACAAACTACCACCACGGTCGTTGAGCTCACGGGCACGATACATACCAAACTTATAAGGTGGTAAGCCCTGAGAGCATTGAGTTTGCTCTGTCCCTTCTCCATTTTTGCATTGCTCGCACAGCTCAAAGCATTCTTCTTTCCATGCCACATTCCCCAACAAATTGTGCGCTTCAGCTAATCGCAGATAAAGTTTGGTCAGCATTGGATGAATCTTACCATAGAATCTTTTCCGAATCTCCAATAAAATTTGTCCAATTGTCAAGTATTCCTTTATCTTTCTCTGCTCTGTACCAGTAACAAATAATGGTTTAGATACCTTCGTTCCTTTCATCCAACAAATTTGCAAAGCCTCCAGAATTCCGGCCAAGTAATCAGCATCACCTTCATCTTCGAATGCGGAAGTTTCAACACAACAGTTTATCACGCCCTCGTGTACCTGCGGCCACCATTTTTTGAGGATATTTAGAAGCATATCTTCTGAAGCCTGATGATCAAATTCACTAAGTATTTCGAGAGCGCTGGTCATCGCCCTAATATAATCAACAGATTCCGCTCACATTGTCTTACAAATTTCTACAATTTCTTCGGCATACGGCTTCGCTTCATCTACTTTTCCCTCTCTGTTGAATAACGATGCCAGATGCTGAAGAACACGAACTAGGAGTTGTGGATTTGGAGGTTGTATTTCCCTAGCAAGTTTTAACGCATCCTTTTGACGTTTCAACGCTAATTTGAAATTGCACGCCGAAACGTAGTTTTCTGCCCTTCCTATCAGCATCTGTAACTCCACAGCATGTCGGGGGCTAACTTTCAAATTCATCCTTTCGATGTCTAATAGCGCTTTGTTATTCTTTTCCCACTGTCCTTGCTAAGCGTAATACGAAGCACTTTGTTCCAGAACTCGATATTTGATATCGTGATTAATGATTGCACCAGACTTTTCCAGCCCAATTAACTTCTGTACGGTTTCTTCACATATCTTCTTCGCTTCTTTGTAGCTTTCAACGTCGGAACAATTTTTTTTGCTAATACTTGCATTCAACATCACTTGAAGAGTAATATCTGGGTCCTTGTGAGCCTGGCTTCTGTGAACTTGTGCCCGAAATACTGAGAATTCAGCATGTAGTCTACGAAAGGAAACGCTTGTTCCAATCAAGAGGTCAACAAAGGAAAGCAATTTATCTAAGGTTTCATCGCTGCAAATTTCATTGATCTCTGTTTCTAAATGATCTTTCAACTTCCGGAAATTTAACAAAAGAAGGGTGAGAGTATTTTGGTCTTCTTTTTTTACTTCAACACAGTTTGAGCCATCATAAAAGTTCAAACAGTCTTCACTTTTCTTTACAATTGCGTAGTGCAAAACGCGCATTGCTGCAACCAAAGTCTCCGTTCTTAAACCTGTAGTAAGATTACCTCGAACGACTTCTTGAACAAGTTTGTGGACACTGAATACTCTGCTTTGCTGATCAACTGAGAAAAGGGAATAGCAGGTCAGCACCTTAAGAATGGCAGCGATGTCAATCTCGGAATTTGCGGCATCTCTTAACTCTACTTGATCCAGTACAGGAAAACCAGGATTTATGACCACTAGAGGGATATTTTCAGACTCTAGAAAGGATGCAATACGCATCATGGTGGCAGCAGCAGGCGATTTTTCAGCCACAAATTCAAAATTCATTTACCAGGTGGTGTGTACAGATAAACGATGCTGAGCCTCTATACCACTGAGAGCGGTGACCAGCTGCTGCTCTAATAGACGAAGCTTTACATCTCGGTACTTGTCGAGATAAGTTTTAAAGGTGCAAGGAATGGGAAGCGCAGATATGTAGGCTGCTGCTTGCGCGAGGGCTAAAGGGAGACCTCCCAGCTCCTTTGCCAGATCGATTGCTTCTTTGTAAGAGGATTCCCCATCAAGGCCCGTTCTTTGCATTAGAAATAGGGCGCCTTCCTCTTCACTGAAACACTGCAGCTCCCAACAGTCTTTGGGTGACAAGTTCAATGATATTTTGATATCCTTAGCGTTTTTCCTGGTGGTGAACAGTATGTGTCCATTATTTGGTGCTTTTGCATTCCTTTGCCAGGGCCCTTTGCATATTTTCTTCACACCACTGGGACACTTTGTGCTCGTCAACTCATCTGCATTGTCTACTACCAGTAGCCATTGACAATCCTTGTTTGATAACAAAGCCAGAAAGCTGTTCAGGGAATCATCGACTTTCTCACTTGTCGACGCAGGTCTATTGAGTAGAGCAAGGTTCTCGGAAACTGATTTATCTACATTTTCATCACTTTCCCCATTAATCCAAAACACTCCACCTGCGAAGTGGTTCCTCCTTCTCCAGGCAAATTCTACAGCCAGAGAAGTCTTTCCGCAGCCTCCAAGGCCACAAATGGTTTTTGTGCAGCAAGATGTGCATGAAAGATTTGCCGAATCCGTATCCTGCACTAAATTCTGTTCTAACCAAATCAGAGCTGAATCTCGTCCAGTGAATTCTTGCAATCTACGGGGTGCGGTACAAAGTGCGGCAATATCCTCTTTTTCCTTCCCAGACGAAGATTTCGCTTTCAGAGCTTCCACTTCATTTGTCACTTCTTTCACTTCAGACTTCATGGTTTCGATGGTGGCCTCTAAGTCGGCGATTCTATCTTTTGATGTGCTAAGGTCCAGCACAACAACATCCAGACAGCCTGCCATATTGCCCAGATCCTCGCTGATAACATGTAAGGCACCCTGCAAATCATCTCGCTCATTAAGCAACCTATTGAAGTTTTCCACACTTTTTGATAGCATTGAAATTTCCTCTTTAAGGCCTTCAACATCTGTCAGTGCGTCATTAAGTTGTTTTCCACGTTTAGCAATCTCCTTGAGATGGAATTCTCCTTGCTTTTTCAGTTCAGATATGTCTCTCGTAGCACACTCCTCGCATCTTTTTATCTCTAAAGTGAGCTGCCTGATATTTTCTTGAGTTTCTAGTAAGTCATTCTGGCCTTTCCTCAGGTCGCTTCTTACAGAATCCATTTCCCCTAGTTGCTCCCTTAGCTCAACAATCTCGTCTTTATGTACCCTGCTTTGTGTTTTTACTTCAGATAAATCATCCTTGCACCTTGTCAGGTCTGTAACCAGCGATTGACGCAGTAAACGAAGAGCCTCAACTTCGGATTTCCTTACACTTACGAGTCCATGATGAAACAGGTCTTGCAAATCTTTAGAAGATTCCTGCACGGCTCTGTCTGCGTTGAAGACAGGGTCATTTAGCAGACTGGTAAGGTGCCCGAATATGGTGTTGACATCTGCTTCTTGAAGTTCTTGTTTTGGAGAATGAGCCCAGTGATTTCTTCCCTCGTCTCGGACTGCACTCAGAACTGCTCGATTGACAGGAGGATGGATGAAAGGACACCATTCTAACATATTAAGAAGCCCGCCAATGTCTGTAGTATTGGCATCAGTGACATCTCCTTTCCGTGTTCCTAATGTTGGCATGAAGACTTTTGCTATTTCCCATGCCCCAGCTCGAGATCCCCATTGTTGTCTGTCACTGTTGTTCCAGCAAATCTTTGGTCGTAAAGAGTTGTGGAGGCGCTCTAGCTCCTTCTTCCATGTGGTACAACTGGCACACCTGGCCGAGGGACGTGCACAGGTACATAGGGGAAGTGAATGCAGAGGGGGGCTAGAAATAAGTGACTGGTACCAAGCTTCCATTTTCCTTTGGATTAGTGGTGTAATTCCATTTTTTGTTATGTTTAAGGCACATCCGACCATTACCCAGTTTTTGTGCTCTTTTTTATCAAGTTCTGCTGTCCAGCTAGTAGCCATGTTGTATTTTCCTTTAGCAGGGCTAATTCCTAGAAATTATAAACCTTTGTTAATAATGCAAAATCAGGGATTCTTTACTCTCTCTGTCTAAAGATTTGAGAGATGAAAGGGTTCGAGAAACTGGATGGTGAGAGATGTGGGGACTCAAAATATTGGGAATGAGACACCATGGGCTCTGAAATGCATGGGCTGGCGTTGGGTGGTGGTTGAAGACACTGAACAACGAGATTTTGGGGGATTTGAGATACTGTAGTCTCCTTGTAGAGACTCCTTACACTTAGGATTTTGAGATACAGAGGTTTCATGATAATTCCTAATTTGGGATACTTTAAGGACTCGAAGGATACTAAGGGCTTGAGTAGTAGGTGTCGATCAGGTGTATGGCTCGAGATACCGAAGAATTCAAGGTTTTTAGGGAACTCAGGATGCTGAGGAGTTTGGTTTCAAGTCGTTGGAATCTTGAGAAAATTCAACAATAACTAATCGAGCGAAGAGGTGCGGAGTTACAAAAAGAAGGGGGGGAGTAGGAAAACAATAACTTTCTCCACTAGGCACCGAGGAAAAAAAACATGGTTAGCCCTTGCTATTCTTGGAGTTGAAGTAAAGTCACGTCAATATGATGAATTATTAATCTTTTAATTCGATGCGGAATAGTTGGGTTGATTCAAGCATCATGCCATCTTCCCTTTTAAAAGCAATACTGGACTACCGTGCCCTCTTACTGCCAAGATGAATTTATATTACTCTAAAAAATAACCATATAAACTGAAAATTTAAATACTACAAGTCACAGTACCAGTAGGATATAAAAAGTGACTTGACTAGACAAAAAGTCTCCATATGTTTCTTCAATTCACTTTGTTCACACAACGCAGTATTTAATGGATAATTACTTCGGCACATGGCATTAGGAGAAATATTGCAGCCAGCGGAGGCCTACCATTATCTATCATAATTATTGATCCCCATGAAATCCTATTGTTCTGTGTCTGTGTTGGACTCTTCGATTTTAGTCGCACCTATGTGTGATAATTGTGATGCTCATTGCTATTGTTCTTTGTTGTGATGAATATATCTTAGATTTTAATTGTGCCGAGGGTTGTTATTGTAGCTCTTTGTTATAGTTGTTCAAAACAATTCTAATGATGGAATTAATTCGTGCAAGGCGTGTAAGACTACTAAGTTGCATACTTTATAAGCCTGAGAATTGAGTCATTGTACTCAGTGCGAACCTGGGTTTAGAAAGAGGATGGATTCGTCGGAAGACGAAGGATTATTTATAACACAGAGCTCTACGAAGGCAGATATTTCATAAGAAATCGAAGATAATGTAGTGTAACGCTTGGACATTTCTGTCAGTGCTTTAATTCTTTATCGACTTCTAAAGGCGGCGTTTCTATTTTCTTTTTTTAAACAGAGCAAAGATTTAGAGCGCCAATTACAGGGTCAGAATGCGAGAAATTTGACAAAAGTTGGGTTTCAGACGTGTGGGTTTTGAAAGCCTATGAGGAGTGGAAGAAGCAATATTTTTAATAATTGTAACCTGCACACTGCAATATTTTTTATATTGCAGCATGCTTATTTAGCGCGTTTAATTATATTACCCCTGATGATTTCCCTGCTAACAAAAAGGACCTCCTCCGCTTTCCTCATACAGTTGTTTTGTCATCTTAAAGACTACAATCGTTGATTTGATGCAGAGAGAGAACAATAGAATTTCATGGGGATCAGTAATTATAACCCGTTAATAGCCGTCGGACGTCTCATTTAAACGACAGGGTTACCCGGTAAAGTTCAAAAGAAATACCGCTGATGTTTATGGGAGAAACTACCTTATGAACATTGCTACCTGCTATCATAGCTGTTGTTTTAATAAATACTGTCAAGAGAAAGTGCATAGGAAGTTGCACTTATTGTACAGAGCACTTTTTATTTTCTAACGTTTCACTTTTCAGTTCTAATCGATCGAGAGGCAGAGAGCGATGACAGTGATGACAGTGATAACGAATCGAAAGATCAAAGTGAGCATGAGCAAAACGCAGAGCAGACCGATCGTGAAGAGCCTGGAGAGAGAGATGAGACTGAACAGGATGAAAAACCAGAGGAATACCACGAAGGCCAATCTGAGCAGAAAAACGAACCTAAAAGAACCAGAAAAAGAATCTGAAGAAAAACATGAGGATGAAATGGAAGACGAGCCTGACAAACAAGAAGAAGAATCGGAAAACGACTGCATAGAATCCAATGGATAAGATGAAGATGACATTGAAGATGAGCCNTCCAAGGGTCCAGTCTCCCGACTAGTGGTGTAGAAAACACTACTTCAAACGGTTTGTCGGAAAACGCGCCCGAAAATGACATAACACAACAGAGTGAGCTGTCAATATTTGGCAGTATGCTAACGAATTCTATGCTTACTCTCCAAACAACTTTGACTCAGCAGTTTGAAAAACTGCAAAATACTATTGAAAGAACTTGGTCCACAGAGGAAAATAATCTGTTGGCGAGCTCCGAGGGAGAGTACAGGAGTGAGAGTGACAATGAAAATGGCGCCAAAACCAACGATCGCGCTCGGTGCGACGAGCCTCGGTCAAAACGCCAAAGAGATGCCTCCCCATCACAAATATCTGTCTTGTCAGACGATGTGACAGAAATCGCTGCAAAACGGTCGAAAAGCTTAGATACAAAATGTGATGTACTCGACGCAATTGCTCAACGCCTCACAAAGACAGAACCGACAGACGTTGCTGTCAACGAACAACTTGCTACACTCGTGAACGGGCCCATGTTCAAATTGAAAAAACCTGAAGAATCAAAGCTCAAAGAAGAGGGGAAAAAATCCTCCGACCACAAAACTACGAAAGTTTGGTCGCCACAAAAGTGGACGAGCTTATTTGGAACAGGCTGAGGCCGAACACGAGGTCCTTTGACTCGAGGGTACAAACAGCCCAAGGCATGTTGATCAAAGGTGTCATTCAGGTCACCAAAATGCTCAATGAAATGCTGGACCTGAAGTCCAGAGCAAATGACGAGTCAGTGAATGACAGTATAGATTATGAGAGCAAACTTAACCAGCTGATCGACAAAGGAATGTCAGCTATAGAAATGCTTAGCTACGCAAATTTCGAGATCAACATGACGACGAGAGTGCATAAAACCCGACCTCAATGAAGACTACCAAACCTCGCTATTCTCCTCGTCAGTCCCTGTGAACAACTTCCTATTCGGGGGGGATACCTCCAAAAGGTTGGAAGACATTGACAAGACCATGGTAAAACCCCATGGTCAATCGAGCAGGAAGAGATTTCCTAGTAAACAATATGGCCGCTCGCGAGGATACCGCGGCAACGATTATAAATATTCTAGGAGTTCGCACAGCGCAAACGTATCCAGCTCTCGAAAGCCTTTTTTAGGCAAACGATTGTACAACCAACAAGAGAAAAAAGGGAGATACGAAAACCAGAAGCAGTAAGCTCTGTTACTCCGGAAACAGTGAGTGAATCTCCTACCTGCATTCATTTTAAGAAGGAAACAATTAACCTGGTGCCTATTGACGAATTCAGAGCTGGTAGACTTAATGATTTTCTCCCAGAGTGGAAAAAACTAACTTCAGATAAGACTATTTTGGACACAGTCGCCCACAGTCATCTCGACTTGATCAGTAGCGAATTGAATTGTCAACAGGGCACGAGGTTAACTTGTAATGTTAATTCTATCGAGAAAGTAGCTATTGATAAGGAGATTACGAAACTCCTTGATAAGGGAATCATTGAAGAATGTTTGCCTTGTATTGCACAATTTGTGTCCCCAATCTTTGCCAGGCCTAAGAAAGATGGCACCTTCAGACTGATCCTAAATTTGAAAGAGTTTAATGAGAATATTGAGTACCATCATTTTAAGATGGAAAGCATTCATACAGTCACTTCCTTAATAAGGCCTAACTGTTACATGGCATCAATAGACTTTAAGGATGCTTCTTACTCAGTGCCAGTGACAGTGGAGCATCGAAAATTTTTGAGATTTCATTGGAATAATATATTATTTCAATACACTTGCTTCCCTAATGGGCTGGCCTGCTGCCCAAGAAAATTCACTAAATTGCTGAAACCTGTATATGTTGAACTTCGTGAATAAGGACATCTCCTGGTCCCCTACCTAGATGACTCTTATTTACAAGGGGAATCAGAGCTCGAATGCTGGGAAAATGTTAGAGAAACTGTGACATTATTCCAAAAGCTTGGCTTTATAATACATCCAGTCAAATCTGTTTTTCACCCTACTCAAGAATTGGAATTTCTTGGCTTCATAGTAAATTCGGTGACAATGACAATAAGGATTACGCCAGAGAAAGCCCTGAATATTCAATCACAGTGCACTAAATTCTTGCACAAATCAATAGTCAAGATTAGAGATCTTGCACACATTATAGGACTTTATA